ATATAATATAAAAACATTTGTGTTGTCAATTTAAAAAATGAAATCTAGATTGAGATTCCTTTCATCCTCCGAAAATAACGATCTGTATTAAACATTCTACGTTCTTCAGACTTTTGCATATCGCATGCATTCATTATATTTCTGGTACATTAAATTTTTTCTATGTATGCATGAGATCCGCAGTCTATTAATGACAATAATTTAGCATCCTGCGATTCGATCGTTCAATTCGGTTAGGTGACTGATTACAAGGAAAGGAGGACCCCAAATATTTTTTTTATTCGATGCTACGAGTTTGTTATCTCTGCACCACGAACTCTAGTTGATCGTTAATCCCATCGTGAAAGCAATCTCTACTTAGAACCCGTTACGTCAGATCGATAAATAATAAAATCACAGCACTTTGATCGCGATGTCCTGTAAAGTTCTAAGTACCTGTAAATCACGAGACCCCAATTCTCCATGCCCAGGGATGGGAAGAAAACCCTCACCATAGCTTGATCCAGTTTGTCTGGCATGTATGTCTCGTACGAAATATTCGTGTACAAATTCATTCGTTCCACGATCTGCCTACCCGTTTTCAAAATGTAGTCAGTCCGATTTATGTAGTTCTCTCTTGCCCACACTCTATAGGTGAAGTTGCCGACTTTATCTTCCTTAAATTGATAATTGCCTATCACGAATGCTAACAAATAAGTAGACATCACTGGGGTTTCTTTGAATGAAGTGGTTATCTTGTCATCTTCTTCTTCTGTTTTTAGTACGTCCATATTAGAAATCGCCTGCTGTGTTTTATCGTGCGTCAAACTGATGTTGAATTTCGCCTTGTAGATGGGCTCGTCCCAACATGGGAACACTAGTCGAGCGTACGACGGTTCGAATTGAGTCGTTCCAAAGAATCTGTTGAAATGGAAGAAAAATTGGGTTTTATTTAATTCACACGGAGACAGAAAGTAATTAGGTATCCAAAAAATGCTTTGAATTGACATTTTAAAAAATTCAAGGAACAAAAATAAGAGGCAGACATTTCATGATGTCACAACTTTATAAGTAAAGTAAGTTCCATCTATAGTCGTACGTATTTCAGAATTGAACAAGTTTCTTAATATTGGAATAAACAACTTAATTTTTTATCGTTAGTTTGCTATATGAGATAAATAACCTGATTTCTGTTCAAGTCCCAACTTATACTGACTGGTGTACCTTTATACATATAATTTTATATATGATCTTAAATTTTTAAAAATTTATTGTTATCTCTTTTCTTGGAGACTCT